GTGCTAGAATTCCAACTCTAGATACATAATAAAAAATTCACAAATTAAAAAAATTTTTTATTTATGAAGTGCATAGAATCGGGCTGTAAATCTGTCTATCCAGGGTGCGTACAATAACCGGCTTTCAACTTCCGGCGCTAAACTGTTAAGTAGTATATCAAGCAACATTGATGGGCCTTAGGGATGCAAATTTTGGGGAGTAACATCGATACATCGATGTTTCGATGCATCGGACAAATGAACATCGATGCTAAAATACATCGCCAGAAAAACATCGATATATCGATGGTTTCCGATGTTTCGAAATTTGGTAGGTTGTAGTCACATTGAAAGGAAAATTTAATACTTTTCAATTCATACTCTCTGTAATTCAATTAGAAAAATACTTACATATGGATGCATTTCCCTGTATTTATTTACTATTCCTTTGCCCTTCCTATAAATATAATCAAAATGCATGCCGTCGTAAGTTCGCTGAGCCTATAGTTCCAAGCCCCAAATTCGTTGAAATTTCAACGGGAACCCGGTCCTTTTTTAATGATTATGTACGCATTTTTAATATCGAAAGATAAGAGTATACACGGAATTTCTGAATTTTCCCCAAAAGAATAAGTAATAAAATTCATGGCCAGGAAAAAAAAATTTTAGGAGCATAATGGGTAAGTTGAATTTAAGTCTGAATCATACTAAAGTCGATGTTAAAACATCGCTGAAACTGGCATCGATGTATCGTAAATTTAGCGATTTTAGGAAATTGCAAACATTGATGGCAAACATCGAATTTTGAACCGATATTATCGATGTTTCAAAAATATCGATGCATCGTTTGCATCCCTAATGGGCCTTCAACAAGTACTGCTAAAAGTCGTATAAGCAGCTTAGAAACAATTTTAGATTCCTCCAGCGAAAGCGAAGGCTCGGATGTAGAATCTGGGGACTTTAAAAAATGTGAAATTAAAGCTCAATTGAGGGCCTGTCTTAAAGAAAAACGAACTCTTCTCGCTGAAAATCCTCTCAATTGCTAGAAAACTAAACTAAAATACGATAAATTGACAGATCTTGCCCGCCAATAATTGAGCGCTCCACCCGCCAGCGTTCCAAGTGAACAAAGGCAGCAAAATTCCTTTTTTTGAAATATAATATGCCCATTTTGAACTTTGACTACTAGATTAAAACACTGTATAGGTTAAGCACTCGTTCAATGTTCTAATAATTTACAAAATTTTTAAGTAATAAAATCGATGACTTAAGTTGATTATAGCTTTTTCAATGTTATTCCTAACATTCGCATTCGCATTCGCACATTCGCATTCGCATTCGTGATTGTGAAAAATATGACATTCGAAACATACCTAATTCGTACATATGTATGTATATAACACAATTCTCTGTGCGCATAACTAATTTTCTGTACACCTTCTAGTCTTTTTATACCCGAGCGCACTTGTGCACAAGGGTATTATAACTTTGTTCGCATAACGGTTGTTTGTAACAGTGAAAACGAATCGAGATAGATATAGACTAATGTATACATAAATTCTCAGAATGAAAGGAGAAACCGATTAATCCATGTCTGTCCGTTCGTCCGTCTGTCTGTCCGTGTACACGATAACTGAGATTGAGATATGATAACTAAATTGAAATATGTCAAATCGATATATGCAATCACCTCTTAGCAGAAAATGACATTTGGGAAATTTTTGGAAAATGGGCGTGGCACCGCCCACTTACGCCTACATATGTGTATCTCGGTACCCGGTTTTTCAATTTCTACCAATCACACCGGCACATTTGCAACCTTGGCGCCAAAAAGCAATATGCTGAAAATTTTTGAAATCGGACTAAAATTACTGTCACTTACCATATAACGGAAAATTTCAGAAATACGAAAACTCCGATCTTTCAATAACTAAAGATGCCAACTTACAACAATCGTTTAACAAGATTCAAGATTATTGATTTTTGTTAAATGGGCGTGGCGCCACCCACTTATGACTACATAAATTTATATCGATAAACGCCTTACCGATTTCCACCAACTTTGGTCCAATTATTTCAGTATATCATAGCATATTATTGAAACTGTTTGACATCGGGAAAAATACTCTTTCTTGTCATGCGGTTTACTGAAGGGTGAAAAACGATACATAATACGTGCGCCGGGTATTTAAAGTTCCGTTTCGCCCGAACCTATACTTCTGTACTTGTTTTATATGTATTTAACTTTCCTTCGAACACAAATTAAAACCTTTCCAACTGAAAATATCCATGGTATTCCTGAATTTGAATTAAGTAAGGCGTACCTGCAAACATTTCTATTTATGTATATGTATATGTACACTTTTTTTATATTATACATATGTACACATATATGTGTAAAAATCATGCCTTATTAAAGACTTGGATTTTGGTAGAAATAATTAAACTCTCTAAGCTCTAACACTCGCAATGGCCGAGTGAACAGAGCGCAGTAGTGCCACTCGAGAGGTCGGAGTTTTTTAAATGATTTTTATTTTATTATTTTTTTTAATTTTTATTCATTGAATTTTTATGATATTAAAGTACTTAAGTTTGTCTTATAAGGAAATTGTTTTCAAACAAATATTTCCTCGGATTGTAGGTGTATTGACTCCCCCGAAATGTAGCGAACTTGAAAAAAGGCAAAATAAGCTTTGAAAAAAGGCAAAAAAATACATTATTTTCTAATTTTGTTATGTACATACTAGGAAGGCCTTTTTAGGTGCCGAAAAACCCGGGATTCTTGGCAAATAGTCCCAGGATTTTCGGGATTTGTGATTTGCACTGATGGCAATAATTTTCTTGACCAGTAGTGGCTATATCTCCTCTTTTTTTAATAATTAATATTTTTTTTTGTGAATGTCTAGCTCATCAGACATATAACACCGTGCGATAGTAAATTTTGCACAAAAAAATATATATTCGCGAAACCATGGGCCAAATATAGTAAAATTGCGTGTTTAGTTTTTCATTCTGACGTCAGTGATTTAAAAAATGCAGTTAAATATCCTTAGAGAAGAAGTGTGGGTAGGGTTGCCAGACGTACTACTTTTGGGAGTAAACGTACTCCTTTTTATTGCAATGTTCTCCCTTGTACTCCCAAAAAAAATATCTGGAAATGTACTCCTTTATTATCTTTGTACTTCTTTTGTACTCCTTTTTCCAGCTATTAATATTTTATCATATACATCTGTTGCACAGTGTTTTTTTTTTGAAAAATAAGTTATTCACAGATTTTGCTTCAATTTTATTAATTTGTTTTTAAATTTCAACCTTCATTTGGGTTTACCGGCGGTAAACACTTTGCGAGAAAAGCGCAAGTAAAAAAAGTAGTTATTGTATAGTCTTTAAATTTAACCTTCATTTGGGTTTACAAGGGGGTTTGGGAGAAAAGCGCAAGTCTTCGCCGGTTACTTTATTACATATCTTCTGTAACCATAGGCTAATTTCCCCCATTTGGGTCATTTATACTCCGTCTTTTGTCCAACATAAGGCGTCATACTCAGCAATCGAAAAGACTCGAAACTGGTGATTAGGAGGGCATTCATTCGACTAACCCTATACAGGTTTTTTTTTTCTTTTTTTTATACAAAATCTAAGAAAAAATACACCTAAAAAAGAGGTTCGTGCCGCATATATTTATCTCTCAAAGCTGGCAAATGCAAATCAGGATTAAAATTTTAAAACCAATTAATAAAATTAAAGTAAAATATTTACAAACTTAACAAAAAAAAACACAAAATCTATAAAGAACCCTTTTATTTTTCAAAAAACCTGTGCGACAGTTATTATTTTATGCGCTGGACGTTGCCATTCATATTGTAGTAAAAACTACTTAGTAAGCAAAGTTAAGTGTGATAGTGTAAAGGTGTAAGCATGGCCTTAGGAGCAGGGCGCTCGGGTATAAAAATTTAAATTAATTATAAGGCTTAAATTAAAAAAATATAAAATTAATATTAAAAAAAAAATATTAAATTAATTATAAGGCTTAAAATAAAAAAATGGCCATACATTCAGGAAGAGTCTGGAATTCTTTTGTAGTTTTTAGTTTTTTAGTTGGGGAAACTTTCCTATAAGGGCGGTCATTGAGAACCGAATTCTACGCAAAAATACTGTGGGACGCAAGTGGAAATTGTGACTTTTGGCAATTTTTCTAAGGGGTCCCTGGGGAACCATAGGGGCCCTTGGTGGTCGGGAGTAACATTTTTGTCAATGGCGGTTCATGCCCTCTCCAAAAAGGTCGGAAAAGCTGCCACGTCCACTCCCCCTTCGATCACCGTCTCTTTTATTTATTATTTTTCACATTTATTG